ATGAATTCGAATGAGTTCGTTCTAGCTCTATCCAGCGTACGATTCAAAAATGATGCTCTCGGGCACTGTTGGGTCGGATGCACACGCGGTCTGCTGAATCAAATGGGGTTCACCAAACCTTGCCAAGCTGGTGGATCATTCTCTCCGGAATCCAATTTACTTTACATAAGCAATCGTATATCGGGTGTCGCTGACGCCCGCCGCATTCCACAAATGAGCGGACTCGACGTGCCCATCAGCTGGGGTCAGATGTGCGCTCAAGAGCATCAGGCAAAGCCATGGACAGAGACGTCGTCAGGGCTACAGAGAATGGGGGAGCACAACAAACTCCACCAGTGGTCTGCAGGGGACATATCTTTTTAACTTTTAAGCCTCCAATTCCCGCCATCCCAGGGCCATCGTGCACAGCCTCAAGTGGCATAGGCTCATTTACTGGTCGCATTGGAGCGTGAGGTTCATGTCATGAAAAGTTGTTTGGTCATGATACCTGATCTGACTTACAGAGTTGTCACCATCCACCGCCATCCCCTACCCACCCCTTTCCCCCAATCGACGGGATTTGGTGGGCCCTGCACTGACCATTTATCTGGCAGCGGACACCAATAATGAATATCTGCATCCCAACTTTCAGTACACATTTGCATGCGAAGTTTTGTATGCGTACTGTCGTCAAATAAACTTCAGCACTGAAGGACGTTTTTGTACAAACTCTGTGTACTTACATGTATATCGAAATACGAGCCTTCGCCCGCGTTCTCTTGTGAAACGGACGCTATCCTTGACTCACATTTGTGCCGAACACTTTTCCCGATACAAACGTGTTTGCGCGCGAACATTTGTGCTCCAAAATTTTTCTGACGAGCATTTGACCTTGCTACCTGCACCCATACGTACTTTTGTCATTACGAACATTAGGCATGCGCACTTAATCCCACGAACAATGGCCATACGTACTTCTGTCTGCCACCTAAGTTTTGGCAGGTGAGGTTATTTCGTCGTCCTCCTTGGCACGTATTTTGCGTGTGTTATGGTTTTAACCATAGCCGAAGAAACCTGTCACACATTGTTAGGAGGGGAGGGGGGGGGGGGGGGCTCAGAATTGTTTGGGTCATTTGCTGCCATGCACCCGCACCGCTGAAAAACTTAAGTTGAAAGTTCCAAAATGTTGTGAACAAGCGCCTAATCCCCGTATGATGCCGGACTTCGCGCTCCATTGGCGTTATGTGTGCTTTGGCTGCCTCTGGAATTATTTTCGTTTTTTTCTCACCTTCGCCTGACGAAGCGGCACCTATTCGGTGTAAGTTAACTGGCAGATACTTAAACCGAGCAGATCCCGGTCACACCCACGGTATCGATCTCGATCGTTAAACGCGCGGAAGGCTGGGAATGCAAATATCAGACAACCGACCACCGGGCACTTGCGGGATGTCACACTTGTCCTGGCTATCAGATATGGATAGCACAGGATGCAACAGCGCTCTCTGGATGACGTCATCCTTCACACCACTGCCAAAACTGCGGGGGGTACCTCTGCCATGTGTCAGAAGACGTTTGGTCCCCTCGCGTCACACGCAGCCCATTGCCACCCGCGGCTAGGCGACAGGCGGCAGAGGCGCTGGCTGCTGGTGTTGACATCCCTGACAGCATCGGCATATTAAGCAACGGGCCGATAAAGTGCATTCAGACCGAATTCTCGATCGGTCCATGCCTTCATAAAGACACGCTTGAATACGTCCCTTTGTGGGCTGGCTCTGTTCATGATCCCATGGAAATCTGAAAGCTGATCTTAAAATGCGTCATCTAACAAAATTTAAAGACCGACGCCAGCTTACACGAAGCGTTTCATTATAGGCGTGTAGATTACGATGACGAATGACGCGCCTGACATGGTGGCCAATGGTGGCACCATCTACCCAGATAATGTGACAGGCAAGATCTTTCGATGATCGTGTTACATTATGATTGCCAGCTTCGCTCTCATGCAAGCAAAAACTTAGAACAAGGGTCTCACTCCGGGACCTTAGTATAACGGCAGTAATGTGTCTCCCGGCGACATCAATGCAGCCAGGCCACACAGGAGAAAATGCCATCCAACTCGGACAGGCGCTAATTATCCACTGACATTGCTCGATTATCCATTGCTTAGGAGTGGTGAGAGCTTTCGGAGATTGCAGGGGTTTGGTATTCACTAGAGGAGTAGCTTCAAGGCAGTTTTTATTTCAAATTACATTCACGCCACGGACTCATTGTCTACCCTCTGTCATTTATGGTCTACCGGCTTGTGTCGTCGTCTGTCTATAGCCGAGTCTGATGCTTTATCGTCGTTAGCGCAGGTTTACGTTTCACGTTGTATGCAGGAAGAACTTAAGCTACGCGGCCGATCGCAGCGCCTTTCTTGAAAATGCATTTTGGCGTCGATGATATTTGTTTTTTTAGTTTGCTGTTTGGCGACGTGTCACTTCTTTGAGAGCGGGCTTCTTTACCACATTATATAACCTGGGCTTAACAATTCAGGGCATAGGCTCTGTTAGGAATCCAGCACCCACGAGCCTTCTTGCGACAAAAATACCATATATTTTTAATTAATCGCTTCGGGTTTCGCTTTAAGTTTATTGCTTACGGCCAAGTGGAAACCACCATGGCCCACAGCCAGCCCTCGCCATTTTATTGCGTTTTGAACGAGCATGGCCCTTTTGAAATGATGTGGTCGGATGGGATGCAATCTAGCCGTTATCGCAGTGCATACATTTGTCAACCGGTGCCACAACTTTACGTAGGTTTGCAACGGCAACATAACAAAGCCAGCCGCTACGATAAGGCGTGCAAAATTTGCAACCGCAAACTTTCCACACTCGAAGCCCGCTAGATATAGGCAGGCTGGACAACAAGATCAGTGGTCATACTTAGACAGGAAGCGAGATTGCTATGACGACGGAAAACGAAAATTCAGAGTGTTTTGTTGTTCTACTTTTTCTAAAGGCAACCTCGAATTCCCTGCTCTGTTGGTTAAGACTTATTGTCGTTGATACAATAATCGGTTTCACGAAGGATTTAAGCTACATAATAACTTTATATTACAATGTTACTGTTGACGGGAGTCACTGTTCCCAGCTTTCTGTCAATGAGTTATGGGATTACACCAGTTGTTCCAATTTATGAAGATACAAAAGAAAACTGGTACACTCAAAACTCAATAAGCAGTTATGTGTAAAAATAGCACTTTGGGTTTCCAACCTGTTGTGCCAGGTCAAGATCCTCCCTGAAATCTTTTGAGCATTGCACAACGCGGCAAAATATGTAAACCTGTGCTCAGCGTAATGGAAGCCGTTGTATTTACCAGCGGCCTTCTCGGTAATCACGTCGCAAAACCAGCGTAATGGAAGCCGTTGTATTTACCAGCGGCCTTTTCGGTAATCACATCACAAAACCAGCGTAATGGAAGCCGTTGTATTTACCAGCGGCCTTTTCGGTAATCACATCACAAAACCAGCGTAATGGAAGCCGTTGTATTTACCAGCGGCCTTTTCGGTAATCACGTCGCAAAACCACGTCAATAAATCAGCCACTTCGCCTGCCACGCATAAAGGAAGTTTTAATGCATCGAATAGATGTTTCCAATGGCAACGATGTGATTTATATCTAATTATTATACAAAAAAAAATCAATCAAATTTCCCATCGATTCGTGCAGTGTATGTTTCCAAGGACAAATATTTTGCCCATCTGGCAAAACGACCCTTCAAAGCAGTAATTATTATTAATTACACTGCCGACAACACCTGCGGTCAAATTCTTAAAAGTGAGCGAGCGTGTGCTCGGGAACGCAATGTGCATTGCTTCAAATCGTCCATCGTACTTGTTCACAATAGGCCGTTCCTAACGTCCTCTCACAGCCCAGCGGCGTCTTGAGACCCACAGAGCTGAAGACATCAAAGCTACGCCTTGCCAATACGACGCAAGCGAGCGCATTGCGCACGACTCCTGAGTAGACTGTTTAAGTATGCTGGACCTTCGCACCTAGTCCTAAATAAACCCAAGGCCTCGGCCAGACCTCCTACACTGTGGTGCTGGAAATTGACGGTGAATGCATTGTTTATGCTTTAATGTATTGGCTTTGGGAAGTGGCTGATCGGTTTACTAATGGGTCATGGCGTCACCACTGCTTAACGTCACTGCTAGACAGGGTAAAAAGTTTCTCGTTGCGGCTAATCTGATGAAGTTTATCCCATATTCCCTGAACGTTAGAATGCCAAGTTCCGCAGTAAATTTGAGCAATGTATAAGGCGCTTATGTGATACCTAGGTGAACATTCGTGACACGCCAATGTTCGTAGGCTTTTCCAAGATCGTTCATCAACGGGGTCCCCTGCCTTCCTGTACGCGAGTCCAAGCTCAATACAAACGAGTGTTTACCGTAATGCGCATGTTGGCAAGGAAAATCAGGATGTCGGTGCCAGAACACAGCAGTACCGACCGCTCTACAACTGTTCCTGAACTGGTCATATCGAACAATGTGTGCCGTTGTCAGTCAACGTTCACCTGCGTTGAAACGCCGAATGCTGGTGCCAGTGCTGGTAAGTTCCATCTGACCTTGCCGGCTGTGGCCCGGCACTCAGAGCATTTAGAATTGTGAAGGCCACGATTTGTTGGTGTTTAAAAATAGAGGAAAGTGTTGGACCTCTGTTGTGTGCCTCACTGTGCGCATATGATGCAAACGCGCCCACTCGTCGCGCTCTGCAAGGCGCTGAGCTCAAGCTGTGGAAAAGATCTGACGCTGGCAGACCTCCTTCATCGCCCGACTGTGCCCCGACTCACAGGCCAAGGACGGTTCAGCAGAGCAGCGCCCAGCCGCCGCAGCGGTCCCACGCGCGGCGCCGGGGCGCCACACCTGCCGCTGTCTCGCAGGTCGCGGCGTCGCAGCGCTGCGGTCACCGCTGCTGTCGGCGCTTCTCGGAGCCAGGCGCGCCACCTCACTCAGTCCCCCTTTCTGGACCGCAGGTCGCGGGGATCCCCGGCAGAAAGGCCCGGCTAGCTCCAGCGACGCGGCCCGTGACGTCACTGCCCGTGGTGCAGCGCGGGGGCGCGGCTTACCGGAGGTCCCGGCCTGTCGGCGCCACTCGCCAGTTGAGCTGCCGCTAGCGGCGGGCGAGCGTCGTGAGGCGTGTGGCGTGCGGCGTGAGGCGTGACGAGTGAGCAGCGGCCAGTGCGTGAGATGCGGGCGTGAGCGCGGCGGGGACGCAGCTGCGAGATGAGGGGCCGCGTGACCGTGGCGCACGGCCGCGACAACCCCGCCGCCACCGACGATGACGGCATCATGCTTCACCGGCTGAGGCGGCTGGGCTCGACGGCAGCGGCTGGGGAGGCAGCGCCAGCCGCCGACGCACGCGCGCCGCCGCCGGACCAGCAGGGCAACCGTTTCGGCTCCGTCAACGGCGTCTCCGAGGCCAAGCCGAAGTCGGTCTGGACGCTGCCGGAAGTCGACCTGAGCCGCGTCAGGGACAAGGCGATCGGCTTCGTCCGGCAAGGGTCGAGCAAGGTCAGTGGCCGGCTGGCGCTCCGTTTCGCCAGCTGTAAAGCCGGGCCCGTGCCGCTGGAGTCTGGAAGGGTTGTTGGTCACCTCGGGCTTCCGTCCTCAGGCCGTAGGGGGCCATGCCTCATGAAGCATGTTGTGTCCTGCGTTGCGTTTGGGCAGCTGAGTGGCGTAACTGTGCTTGAATGAATCTCCATAAGCCCGAGGCGGGCGTCGACAGATGGCTAAACCTTGTTCAGCTTGGTCCCCTGGGCAAGGATGGGCCGGTCTTCATGTCAAAATGTCAGCACTCGCCCTAAATGGATGTATACCACTAGACGCTTCACTGCAGGCTGAAAACTGGATGACTAGAGGACAAGCGAGTTTTTTTTTGGGGGGGGGGAGAATGGGTGTTTGTTTTCATGCAACGCGATACACGGGAGGCTAACCTTGCTTAAGTGGGGAGACTCGTCCTCTACCTCCTCTCTCCCGGCAGCTGATCCCATGCTTGCCCCAAGCCTTTAGAACTTTTGCCTCAGTGTCAGGAGCGCAACTTTACATGCTTTTGGCGCGCCTGAGCCTCCCCAATACTGACTTGAGCCCCGTCCCTTCCCAGCGCTCCTCTGAGACACACCAATGCCCAAGAGCAAAGAGAGAATACTGGGCCAAATAAATGCATAACCATTATCTTAACTATTGATATAGGAGGCAGTATATACCTAAACACGTCACCATCGGCGTCATGATCATTTTGTGCCAGCTAGTATCCTGTAGGTACCCAATAGTTTTATCATGCTAGCTCCTTCACATATTAAGTCGGCCTGCGAAAGTTTGACAAGTTTTCAAATGATAACGCCTGGATTAGGATAAAGAACAACTGACTGAAATATGCGTCAGCTTTGAGAAGTACAGGATGGCCCGGATAAAAGTTACCGTATGTTTTCCCCAACAGTGGCAAGTGTATTTATCGCGTAATCGTGGCTGTGGTGGTTATGGAACGCGATCAGTGACAGCGGTAGTCATCAGTGATCCCTTACTAGGATATACTTAAATGTTTTTTATCTAGGTTACACCCCATTTTGAGCTTTTCACAAAAAGGCAGCTCACATTTACTTAAGATGGGAAGTCACGCCTCCGCAGGAAAACAATATTTAACCTGCGTAATGTATACATATATATATATATATATATATATATATATATATCTCTCTCTCTCTCTCTCTCTCTCTCTCTCTCTCTCTCTCTCTCTCTCTCTCTCTCTCTCTCTCTCTCTCTCTCTCTCTCTCTCTCTCTCTCTCTCTCTCTCTCTCTCTCTCTCTCTCTCTCTCTCTCTCTCTCTCTCTCTCTCTCTCTCTCTCTCTCTCTCTCTCTCTCTCTCTCTCTCTCTCTCTCTCTCTCTCTCTCTCTCTCTTAAATGCGACGCGTGTTTGAAAATAAGCTTTTGAAGTATAACTTCGAGGACGCAATTTAAGTGGCCCAAATCCGGGGAGAAATCAGGTTTTTAGTGTTAGGTTCGGTCAACCTTTTCTTCCACCCCCGCTGATTTTAGAATGTGACACCCCTGTTTAGCATGCCTAGCGAACCTGGTAAGCTTACTGCATCACTACGTTTGGTGACGTCTTACCATATAATCTTATTTACATTTGTCCATGTTATTACAGGATAGATAAATGCAATTTGAAGTAACAGCATGGTGTAAAAACAGATCCGGTACTCAATTATGATAAGTCTCTGCTTTTTGTCTGCATGCTCCCTGGTGTTGTTTTCCCAAGACAAGCGACGCTCTATGCTCTGATGCATGCCGACTGGAGGTGACCTTCATCATGCTTCCGATGAAATCATGCGCAATAGAAGCCGCATGACGGAAAACAACTGCCACCGGTTGTGCAGTGTGACCAAAGCTGTGAGACTTGGATGCAGTGCGGAGCACCTGCGAACCCTGCAGCTGCTACCGATGAAGTGATCTGTGATACGCGTTATCGCAACTGGGCGTGTTGGAATTTTGCGCATCAGAAGGCGTGCGATACTATTAATTTGCGCGTAGCGCGGCTTCGCGATAGCGCTTCGCGTGCCACGCTATCACCTTTGGAGTGGCGTCGATTTTCTGTGACTAGATAGATCCTTTACGGCAAGATAAGATACTTTGCGTCACACCCGCGTTTGAGTCCGGTTGGAGATGAATTGGATTGAGTCAACCGCAGAATGACTCGGACTTTATTTTAATCAATGAGGAATTGATTCCTTCCAAATTGGCTCGGCTGTAACCCAGCTGTCTTGATTGCTATCAGCGAGTAGAAATAACAGTAACACCAAATGTTCAGAATCTAGCAGTATTAATCTGAATCGTTATTGATTAATATCATCGATGAGCTCGTACAAAAACGAAATGTCAGTTACAACATTTATTTTTATTTCCAGAGCTCGGAATTATGAACAAATCGAACAACTGCTCATTCATGATATTAGTATGATCAAAAATATTTAATACGTATGCTTTACATCGCTCATAGAACGGTTCACGCACCGAACTGTCGCCGCCAGAATCGAATCTACTTGAATAGGCTCCGTCGTCTTATTCCGTCTGAATCAAGCGGGATCATGTTTTCGCGGGTCGTAATCAAAGTCGATCCAAAATCATGCTATGCCGCTCGAAATCATGTTACGCTGCTCGGAATCAGCCCGTGCCAGCCCCTCACAGCGCGAGCAGGAGTCGGTATCGATTTCGGAGGAGCGCATCAAGCACAAGTCCTACGTGCGCCACATATGCCTTATCCCCGCCCCAGTAACGTCAGTCTTTGTCGTTGTGTTTACTCCAGACAATACAACCATACTCGAACGATCTGCTTTCATTGGGGCTTTACGACGCACTCAGCTGCTGCTGCTTTATGGCGTTACGTGCCTTCCACCCTGACAAGAACGACGGGCACCGCGTGGAACTCAGCGGCGCCATGTGGAAATGATTTTAATTGAAAAGAAACCAAAACTAATGAACACCAAATAGCCATACCGCGGTGCATTCGCGCGATTTAATTGTGCCGCTCACGCTGCGCCACGCCAGTATCCTGGTCGCTGACGAACGAAAGGCATGATTGCCAGAAGAGAAATCGGCAGAAGACGGCTGTCTGCCACAGCGGCCGTCGGCTGAGTGACAGCCCTCTGTTTTCGTCTGCCGCCGCCCACGACCGGCCGGCGGCAAGGTCACCGCAAAGCCTAATCGGCTACGTGGCTGGCGCAAGTCAACCGCGGCGCGCGGCACAGTCGACCACTTTTTCCGCGACGAGGTCACCCCGCGCGCCGGCCTACAGCCCGTCTGCACTTCTGAGACGGCCGACCGCGGTCTGAAATTCTGCCGCACTCAATTGCGTCAGCAACAAACCTCTGAGACTCGTTCCCCATTGGTAGCGTACGTACCTCAGGCTGCTTCCTATGACGTCACAAGTGTCTACGTCACACACGAGTGCCTGCATTCCAAGGCCGTATGTATAAAACGCCATTCGTGTAGAAAATATTTTGCAAGGCTACCTCATGAGATAAAAAAAATGCTGGAGGTGCCTTCCGCAAAACGCACGCGGTGCTCAAAATAGGCAGTTTCGGTTGGTAATTTTGGCCACAGGATTTGAATATTCCACTGAAAACATGACGCGACATCGTTCTAACGCATAACGAAGTCATCGCAGGTCACGTAAGGAAATACAAAATCATGTGAGGTCATCCAAGGTTAATGAGCTATGTCGCCTGTGGGGGAAAGACAAGGTGAACGAGTGCGACGCGTGTAACCAGCACCTCCTTATTGTGTTTGTAAAGCTGATGACGAATAATTTCATATAGCAACGTGCCCGTTCTTCGTCTTTTACAAATACCCTGCCCACCGTAGAAGGGCCTTTATATTCTGTAGACAATAGCTATGCGCTTTTGAGTACGTGTAGTGATGCAAAACACCATTTTGACCAAGACTTCGTACAGTCACATAGACCCACTTATCACCGCAATTTTGTCATTCGAATTTAATATAAATGTGACCTCTGCTGACCTCGGGATGGACTCCCTACAGTCATAACGCCTGTTTCCGTGCCCTCAATATCCATCTTGGCGTGTCAACACAGGTTTGAACTGCATCTATCGTAACGACCTTGTTACCTTTGGTGACCTCTGGTGACCCATATGTAACCTGAGGTCAACAATTTGGTGTGCATTCTTCATGAGTTGACGAGACCTTCACAACGGCGTCTTTGCTTTTCTCATACGGCATCTGGAAGTAGGAGATCCCAGTAGGGAAGTCAGCTCCCACAGCCGGGCACGACTGTTTGAAAACCACGGTCTGGCCCAAACTAATCTGGTAGCGCTTTCTCTTCATGCCGACGGGCCGACAAAAAAATCCTGGCAGCATTTTCAGCCGGCGCATGACGTTACAAACCGTTACTTCGTGGTCACGTGATGTGGCGTGGGGGGAATACTGGGTCGTGATTGGTGCTGACAAACGTACCTATGACAGATCGAACACGGCCGGGGTCCGCGAAATACCGAGCGTAAGCAACATACGCCGCTGCGGGTGCGCGACGGCGTGGGTGATGATGATATAAGTGTTACAGAGCGCGTCGGTTCGCAACGAGATGGTAGCGCAGTCGTAATAATTCTTGAAGTAAATTCTAAGATCAGAAGGAAACGATGCTGAGCGAGGTGAACGAATAGCACGTAGGCAAAGTCAAATTTCAAATACCTTGAAGTTGGTAGCTCTGGCCAGATTACCACCATCGGATCCCATCAAAATAAGCGCCTGGAATTGGATAAAAATGCGCTCATTCTGGTCTTTCACGGTCAACAACGGTGAGGAACAGCGAAGAAAGTAGTGACAACAAAGCACATGGTGACTCGTAAATGACTCATCAAAAAAACCTTCCCAGACTATGGGTGCAGTTTCATTGCAGTTTCGTTTCATGAGTTGGTGGAGGAGGCTTAAACAGTGAGAATAACCTCACCCTATCCCCAAATTAGCCAACAAATAGGTTTCTCGCCGGTTTTTCCCTCCTCCCTTCTCAAAATTCTGGGGACGGGAGTATAAGTTGCGGAGGTGGGACTATAGTATTGCGCTCCGCGGCTGCATGCTGCGCCTCTTCCTGTGCCGTGACTGCCGGAGGTCAGCGACCTGGCGCTGATATGAATAAAGTCGCGCCCGTGGAATAGCCGCTGTCCAGTACACGCTGAGCCTCATGCGTGAGGCATCGGCGTTTGTATTTGGGTGCGGCTAGTACGCGTCACGCGACTTTACCACATTCCTTATGTCATTCGAGGCAAATAACCTGGTAGCGACGTAGTTTCGCAAAATAGGTTCGGGGGCTGATAATTGAAACTATACAAGGCCCACCCAAAAACTATGTCACCAAATGTCTTTTTCCACGGATTTGGCCAGCTTCCCTTGCAAAGTTGGAGAGGCCTCGTCCAAGTGTGGAGAAGGGAAAGGGCTGGGGCCCTCCCCGTACTGAAAAGGAAACTGCACCCCCTGCAGCCTGAGGTCGTTAATTAACTGTGTGTATGTTCAGTGCACATGAGAATGGCCGGAACTTGAAAGACAGCACGCAAATTATTAACAGCCCTCGTTCTGATTTGCTGTTTTTGATAACGCGGACTGATGGTGATACGGATGGGGAGGTTGATGCGATCTCTTGCTGTTCCTAAACTAAGTAAGATAGAGCCTAGCGGAAAACATACGGGTGTTTTTCTAGCGGCCATATTTTCCTGAAAAAATGGCTTTTCAGCTTAACGTGCTCATGGTGATTGCATCATATTCTGCAGTGAAACGAAACCCGAGATGGCGTGTTCTTTGTTAAATATGAGTCCTACAATATGTAGTTTTATGTGTCTTTAGTCGATATTTATGATGCATGGCTCCGTTCATGTGGCAGTGCCGGCCCGCCGTGCACAGTCCGCAGAATTCTCAGTTGTTGCTCACTGCCCGCGCCGGCCGTAGATCGCCGTGCAGTATTCTCCAGACAGGGGAACGCATATGTGGAGCGATGACAACGATATTGGCCAGCGGTGGGTGGAAAGAGGAGACAGGGGCGGGGACATACAAAGCCGAGGCTCCTACTGTGATTAGAAGGCCGAAAGACGCATCTCTGTGCGATTTATTTAGGGCGAATTTTATTTTGCCCATCCTCGTTATGTGCTGAGTGTTGTGATATCCCTTTCTTTTCTGTCCCGTCCTGTCATGTTACCTTCAGCTCCGTCCCGACTGATCTTGTTTCCTGTTCTGCACTGCCATATCCCGCGCTGCTCCGTTATCTTCCCCTCCACTCTGTCCTCTCCGATCCCGCTCCGGCTTCTAACCCATCTTGTCCTGTTTTGTCGTTTCCTATTCTCGGCCTTCTGCCTTCTGGATGCCATACAATGCCCAGCGATAGCGGAACCCCTATGAATATTATTGCGATTTCGCCCTGTTCTTTATGTGTACCTATTCCAACGTGTGTGATTTTGGGTTCTCCCAATATTGTTTATAAAATGCTTGTTTTGTTCAATTCTTCTAATTGAAAATGTCATTTTCAGGTCAGATTGTGTCATGTAGATACTTTTCGAGCCGTGGTCATTCTCAAGAGTCAGGATGAGGATGGGTTGAAGATGAGTAAGGCCCGAAATATTGGGTACCGTTGATATAACCATTAGTGAACTGTACAACGCTGCCTGGCCACCATCTCCGGGTATGGTGAAGGTCGTTTGATCTACGCAAGGACTTTGAACTCAAAACTCGTATTTACACTAATAAGTACGTGAGCTGGAGGTGCTTTTGTCCGGAGATTTTAGGAGACCCGTCACCTCTCCGTTGTCTTTCGCAGCATTCATGATGCTGCAGTGGGGCGTCAAAAAGCGTTTGCGGCGTCCTACTTTGCATGACATGAAGGATCAGACTCACGATGCTTCGGCCGATGTTGCTTGCGAAGTGTCTGTGTGCCGAGCGCTTCCGTTTTTTCTCCAGTCTACAGGCTGCATGCATCTTTTATATTCTGGCATTCGGCCATACAGTTGCCACACTTGCACACTGATGAACAGTGCAGTGCGTACTGTTACCGTGCGCATGCCGTTGCAGAGGTTTCATCGGCCGATCATGGACGGCACGAGACGCATAAAGGTCGGAGGTCAAAGCCTGCCGGGCGCGCCTGCGACTGACCCCGCGGCCGAACCCTCGTTCACCGACAACCGCATCAGCACGTCAAAGGTCAGGTGGTGTTGGCGTACCGCTGTCGCTTGTGTGCTCGTTCACCATTCTCATTGCCGCAGCCGATGTGCAGCGGCTGCAACCCATCGGTATGCCTAATAGGCTGTGTGAATCATTGGGACCAAGGAGGCGATGCTGCTGCATCCCAACTTGATCGTGGTCTTTCAAGTCTCTAAATGACCCTGCTCCTAACGTTGTGTTGTGTATGTTAAGCGACATCAATGTACATATATATATATATATATATATATATATATATATATATATATATATAGCGTGCATTTAACAGTCGAAATGAAATACAAAATGACATTAGGCGTGAAATGGAAAACGGCATCCTCTACAGCATTAATCTCCATATTCATGTCCGTCACTGAACACAAACGGCCGCATCAGCCGGCGCGTGGGCTGCGCGTGTAACGAATCACGTATCACCATGAGCTATTTGAGATAGCATGCTGCAATGACCTGACAACCAGCACAACGACTTAACGCGGCAATGAGGTGCTCTGCTCTTTGTTAAGCCAACTAATGTGATCGACCAACTCGTTCGTTTACACGTGTTGCGTCGGCGCGCTCCCCGTCACGTACTACCCTCACTTGTCCACCTGTTCCACGTCAGCGGACAGGAGGCGAGCCCACAGAGTCGGCGATGCCACTGGGAAAAACTTATGAAAATCAAAACTTCTGGCTTGCTGACGTATATTGCTATCGAGATATGCGAGAGCAGCGTTGCCCCATTGCAATACAAATGAAACAGAGCGATATCTTTAGGCTTTGCTTCGCTTCGATCAATGAACCCTTATGAAACGTCCAAGATTTGAATGCACGTCCAATGCGAGTCCGTTGATACAAATGGAATATACATGTATTGCTCTGTTTCATGTTTTACTGTTATGCCATGAAGGTCGCGTTGCTTTGACTTGTTCGTTTTGTTTATTCATTCCAGTTGTAGCCCCCCCCCCCTAAAAAAAAAACATTGGTTATATGACTTTGAGACTAGAATTAGAACGTGCGTTGAAAACCTCTTGCCATAGTCAAGAAACGTCCGTGGCGTCTTCATTTTGGTGGCGCGAAAATGACACCACTGGGTTTCTCTGCCATTTAAAAACATATCGAGCACCTGCCATGGGCTGAATCCCATTTTGATTCGAACGCTAGGTCGGATTGATGGTTTCATCATCACATCATCGCTATTGACTTTCATCGAAGAGATTCCCTGCACCACTGCGGCGAATTTAGTGGCATTGCCATTGCCCGATTCGTTACTCAGTCTTCCCTCCACGCCTAACGAAGCGCACACAGATGGGATGCGCCAGGTAATGTTGAAACACCGCGCCAAATTCGCCTCGCTCGGCCACAAGGTGCGCCGCGAACAGGGCCTATCCGCAAAGCTACCGAAAATCGTTGGCGGGTACCTCGCCAGATTACCGTGCGCTGTAGGATCGCATGCCACGGCCCTGAGCGGCCCGACACCGCGGCGCGCCCAGGGCCAGCCGCCCAGCGTATCTGTGCTGTGTGTGCAGCGATACCGACCGGCGCTGCAGGCCACGCGGCGGGGCCTTGGCTCGGCCGCGCGCCGCACCGCGCCGCGCCGCGCCATGACATGACGCGGCGCGCTGGCCCGCCGGCCCAGCTGCCGTGCGCAGGCCGCAGCCGTGCTATCTCGGCGGCGCCGGGCGGCGGGCGGCCCGGTAATCGCCGTGACACGGACGGCTGCCGGAATGCCGGTTTTCGGACTTTCCGTCGTGTTCGTGTGTCGCGGCTTCGCCCGCGGTCGTTTGAGGATGATTCGTCGCGTCACGTTCGGCGAAGAGGCGCCTGTTAGCGTCCGTGCCGCCAGAGCTTCGTGTTCAGACTGTTTGTGCCCGCCAGGGCAACGTATTCAGACTGTTTATACCCGCCAGAGCTCCGCGTTTAGACTCTGTTCCCGCGAGAGCTCCGTGCCCAGACTGTTCATACCCGTCAGCGATGTTTCGCCGCTGTTATCCGGAACGACTGTGGAAGCTGTTTGGACTGTTTGTGTCCGCCAGATATCCGTGTTCAGACTTTTTGCTTCACATGGGTCTGTCGTGCCGTACGGTATCGACCTAGCAGTTTCTTTTTTATCTTCTTAGTTATCGTCTGTTGTGAGCTGGTTACTGCTGTTCAACGTGGTTCACGTTGCGTTCTGCTGTCCGACGTGGCTCATGCTGGCTGCTGCTGTTCGACGTGGTTCACACTGGCTCCATGCATCGAGTGGTATATAGGTTGTGAGAGCATTGGGCGTTGCTGCAGAGGAACTTCACACCTCTAGAATGTCGTGCACGCTGCACGTGCAAGCTGCAGCGGAACATAGGCGCCTCCAGGGTACATCCGTTCGGCTTACTGAAATGTCCACTCGTGCGTTTTTGGAAGCCTGGGACATTCTGTCGCGGAAAGGACGAACCTTAGGTTAAGCGCAGCGTTGCGATCGTTGCCTCCCATGAGCGTCCCTGGGCGCGTCTATGCGACTGAGCCCAGCGTAGCTGACCTTCGTGATGGGTCAACGGCGTTATGTTACGTCATTGCCGACTCGTGGCCGCTGCGCCCGAGGTCGAAAGAAAGGCTTGTGTGCAGAACTGCATCCGGCGTGCCATGACGCTGGTTCCACATCCAGCTGGCGTATAAACCAGCTTCTCTCGGATCCGTTCAAAATGTGATGGGCATATGCAATATTTCTATGGGATAGGCATTTCTAATTACTGAACAAAGTTCTATTTCCATGCTATGAAACCATTGACATAGTGGCAGAGAGGGCTTGGGAAGGTCGGTTTCTTGTGGATATGAGCATATCGAACTTAGCAGCTGCCGTGGAATTGCAGCTACTGTAGCTGTCTACGGTTGGTGTGGCGCGAACACCGAGGTAGTCACAACTGTGAAAGCCGTTGTTGATATGTAAATGGTTCCAAAAGACTAAGCTGACGCAGCTAGACACCTTGGGCAAACGATGCCGACAGGCTTCATCAATGCGTTGATTGTCTGCTTTCATCAGCATCAGCATTTAACAGGCGGGTGTCCACTGATGTAGCATTCACACGCTGATTGGAACATTTATATTCAAACTACACAGAATAACATTGCTCACAAATGACTGCCTCTGAGTATGGGCATGCTCGGTAATTTTGATCGCGAAAACGATGAGTTTGCGATAAGTCAAGGTTTTGTTAACCGCGACCAAACTTCTGCAAAAATGCAAATGTTGTTGGTAAATGCTGGCCACGATTAGTATTCATGACTTCATCTCTCTCAGCCTAGCACACAGCTTCCTGTATCGTCTCAGCCATTGGAAAGGATTTCTTTGTCCGTTGCCCGGGCGATTTTTGCCCACCAATGGCTCGAACAGGTCTGATATTACTTGATAAGCTTGTTAATGCGTCTGTCCGCAGAGCATTATTGGTGTTACACCTTCATATGCTCCGATTGCTAAGGTTTGGCACCAACGAAGGTTTTATGGCCTGTACACCGGGACGCGTGTCCATATGTGTACACCGACCCAAACATTCTGCTCCTCCGTCCGCATATATTCGTCTCGCGTCGCTGTGACGCCTGATCAAGACCTTGGTCTGGTTTTCGCCCATACTTTTTAGAACCTTTTTTCGTAATTTGCAACTTTTTGCTTGCCCTCAGCTGAGAGTAAATTTCCCGCCCGGGATGTGGCTGTAGGTCTATCGGAACAAAATGATAAAAAGGCTTTTGCCCGTCTCATTTCAGGTAAGCAGGGAGGGAATGTTGCAGTGGTATCGCAATGTTGCTGGAAAAATCAGCGTGGTCAGATATATTAGACGAAAAAAGCCTGGGAGTGTATGCAGTACAACTTCTGACGAATTGCACTGTTTTGTCGAAACCTCCTTTACCTGATATGAAAACAGATTCAAAAGAGCGTAAACTCCGGTTTCTGCTGCGCCAGAACCCTCAAGGTGAGACAGAAGCTCACCTTGAGTGAGGTTAGATAGATGATACATGATATGATGGTGATACACAACTATATGTACCGCCTGCGGCCTGACTCGGTAATTACGGCTTAAGGACGTAACGGAGCGCAAAGACGTCACCATGTCATATCCACATTGAATGTCTGTCTCAAGAATCAGCACATCTTCTTGGGCACGCGTTTGTCCGTGTTAAGCCAGAAGCCCATTCTCCAAAGAAATGGATTATGTGTGGTCCCGTGCCGATGCGAAATGACAAGTCGGCAGCTTGATATTCGCCACAGGAGCCACTTAATCCGGGTTCAAAGCAAATATGCTACATACTGAAATCGGCCATACGTGTGTAAGCGGGCTTATTCAAGGCTATTAGCGCCCACCACGGTTGCGCCGGACACCGCTGCAGAAGCCGACGCGCCGAGCTGCAGCCGCTGCGGTGGTGTTCGCGTGGGCGAACCAATCGCTGGTGTTGGCCGCGTTCCAACTCAGCGGTAGATCTCCTGGTTGGCCATATTGACCTACTGGACTCGCTGTGCCATCAGTGCGGCTCCCCTGCGCCTTTGCATCTCTAGCGCGTGCAGGGCAGTGTCGCGTGGGGAAGAGAAGCGTGTCTACGCATTCACCGGGAAGGGAATCCTAGTTTTGCGCCTTTTGCGTCCAAATAAGTGCAATGTTGCGAAAAGTTTCGTCAGGTTTTACTTGCCTCTCTTAATCATGACGAGCCTTCCTGAAGCTACTATTACAATTGTTAACAAAAAAGGACAGGTTTGTGTGCAAACTGTACAGAACCCTTCCGTAACATAGACCTAACGTGCTGGCAAGTTGTATATGAGCGAGTGACGAGTGGTTGCTACTCACAGCGAATGGGTAGTGGGCGGGGATGAGTACAGCTTCTATTGAAAGGCGGATTGCGAAAAGGCAGCCTTGACCGTGAAGGCTCTGCTGTCATCCGCTGCACACAGCGCATAAGAATGTCACCACCGGTCTGAGCCGCCTAAGATAGGTCGTGTGATAATTGTCAAAGAAGCATCACGTCGAGAATAAATATGGGAAACTCGCCAACACCGAAGGATGGCCAATCTTGAAACAAGAAATTAATCCGGGACCTGTTTATGTGCAAGAATACACCGTAGCCTTGGCGATGACAAAATATACGAATGTACAAGCTCAGTGGGCTTGGGCAACTGGTTGTGCCAGAAATAAAGATATGCCCGTTTTGAAGACGAGGCGAAAATTGATATTTCAAACGCGAAGTTAAAAAGCATAAAAATCAATGAAAGCAGGGTAAGCAAATCACCATTTATTTTAGGGCTGGTCTGCGGTTCACGGCACAGTGTCGCTCCAGTTGTAAGCAATGTTGTAGTTCGTGTTCCGCACATCGCGCTAACCTTCCATTCGTTCCATGCTGAAACCAAGGCTCTGCAGAACTGTGATAGCATAAAGAGCGATAGGCTGGGAGAACGACAAGTACGCGTGTAGCTGCAGAATAGTTAGGTTTGAGGATCTCTTGGCGCTGGCATGCGTGGCTGCAACATGCTTCGACGTGCCATAAGTTTTATCACGCAAAACTACAGCGTTGCCATTTCAAGATTGCGTTGTTCATAGACAGATGTGCTGAAAACGAATTAATTTTGCTTTGCATCTCGAATCTTCGAATTCGTCCCTCGAATCCTTTGGCTGCGAAACCATCACAAGCAAGCGTTGCAAGCGAATTGCAAACGTTCGAATTGCAAGCCGCCGAGATCAGGGTTATCTAGTCTGTACAGCGCAAATAAAGATGGCGTCAGTTGCAGGTTTGGTGTGTGGAACTGGGCACTATTCTGATGCTTAGCAGTCGCACGGACATTTTGTAACAGTGTGGCAAGCCCATCCCGCAGTAATGTAGCTTAATTTCATTGCGATGCCTTTCTCCGGCAGCATGGGGTGGTGCCTGTCACATGTAGCTAGTTGTAAGCTGTAATGAATCAACATTGAAATCAACCCCCGATTTGTATTGCGTGGACTACACTATATCCTACCCAAATGACACAAGATTCATCCCAATGTTGTAAAATGAGAAGTCAAAGAACGACCCGTGCAGAACAGGTGCGCTGGTAATGCTGGTGAAAAATTGTGAGAATTGAGTACCTTTAACCGAAGCTGCATTCATTTGCAGTACGCGCTGTGGAATTTTGTGCCCGTCAATCTGTTTGAGCAGTTCCGGCGTTTGATCAACTTCTATTACGCCCTGAACATCGCCATCACGGTGAGCCTGCCGCTTCTGCCTGTCGGTGGTGGTCCAGTGCTGGATGTGCTCGTCAGAGGTCAATGCCGCGGGCCCCGTGTCGTGGCACGTGACCCGCCTCGGGCGGCGGTCTCGTCCCGGCCGGGCCCAACGAGCTGCGACCTTTGACCTGTGGGTCGCAAACGCGTGCGCCGTCCGAACGCGGTACTGTCACCTGCTGTCGTCCTCGGCGAGCGTCCATTGGTTCTGTTTTGCGCTGTCGTCGCTGTCCTCTTCGCTTCCGTCTCTTCCGGGTGGACACCTCCGTCTGACGTCCGATGTCTGCCGCTGGTTCTCATGCCTGGTGTGACTGTTCAGTGCGCTCGTGCGATGGCTCTTGGCCGGCGGGCCGGTCCGGCGGTCCGGTCCGGTCCGGTCCGGTCCGGTCTGGTCCTGTGCAGCCTAGTCCAGTTCAGATCGGATTGGATGGGATTGGGTTGGGTCAGGGCAGGTCGGATGGGATGGGATGGGATGGGATGGGATGGGATGGGATGGGATGGGATGGGATGGGATGGGATGGGATGGGATGGGATCGGATCGGATCGGATGGGATGGGATGGGATCGGGTCGGGTCGGGTCGGGTCGGGTCGGGTCGGATCGGATCGGGTCGGATAGGGTCGGATCGGATCGGATCGGATCGGGTCGGATCGGGTCGGATCGGGTCGGATCGGATCGGATCGGATCGGATCGGATCGGATCGGATCGGATCGGGTCGGGTCGGGTCGGGTCGGGTCGGGTCGGGTCGGGTCGGGTCGGGTCGGGTGGGATCGAATCGAATCGGGTCGGATTGGGTCGGCCTAGGCCTGGTCGGGTGTGAGCTGGACTAGAGTTCTGAAGCGTGCATAACCGCTCATGACGGCAGCCATTCTTTCCAAACCTCGATTTCTCCCGGAACCCCTCGTGCCGAGTTTACCCAACCCGACCGCCTGCCGCCTCTTAACGTTGTTGCAATGGCTGAAAGCAAGGAGAGCCTGGCTGATTCACCGCCGAGGTAGTTGTTAGCTGGACTTTTCCTTATCGCGGTACACTTCAACGGTTCATACGGTTGTCATTGATGGCTTAACGCCTGTAAAGCA